TTTTGCAATTACCTTTTGAGGCTTTCTCTCCTTATGGAGGGTGTCAATACTGGTTTTCTGCACAACTGTCAGGTCAGCAGTCTTTCCCATGATTGTGATTCCTAATGAACCAGACTGAGAGACCATTTAAAGGCTCAGGAACCCTTTGCAGGTGTTATGGCTTAATTAGCTGATTAGAGTGGGACACATTGAGCCTAGATTATTGCACCTTTTTACAATATTCTAATTTTCGGAGATTGTGGATTTGAGATTTTCATGAGCTGTAAGCCATAATCATCACAATTATGACAAATCACGGCTTGAACTATCTTGCTTTGCATGTAATGAGTCCATTTCATATATTAGTTTCACTTTTTTAAGTTGCATTACTGAAATAAATGAACTTTTGCACGATATTCTAATTTTTTGATTTTCACCTGTATGTAAATCTATTAGTTAAGCTGTTATTTTTCCGATTAGGGTGCTTTGACTGAAAAAGGTTGAGAAATACTGGTCTTTTGGCTGATTATTTTTTTTTTTTTTTTTTTTTTGCCTAATTACTCTTCACTTTACTGCTTTTGGGATGTCCCATTTATTATGATTAAAACAGGGAGCTTCACCTTGCTTGGATAAAAAATATCCCAAAGAAGTACAAAAATAAAACATTTAATATAAAATATATAAAATAAGCTGCCGGCATAAATTTGGTTGATCATGAATACAGTTACTCAAATTTTAAACATGCGCTTATTGTACAGTCCATAAAATAACTGACTTTCTCCAGGAGGGAGAATAAAAAAAGTCCCTACACCATTCAGTGCACATAACGGTTTCCATACGACACTACAGTGGTTAAAACTAACTGCTTACCAGACATTAAGCCATAGACAGTTTGTTTATCGGCCGATTTTTTTTTTTTTGTCCGAAAAACCAAACATCGGTTGTTCTGTTGCCACCAATGATTGCGAAAATCGGCCTTTTTTCGCAAATTTTCCAGCTTGACCGATAAAAGAGAAATGAGGAATTGCGAAAATCTGCCGATGCCATCGCCCCACTAACAGTGTGAAAATCGGTCGATTTATTCTTTTGGACGAAAAATTGGCCGGTAAACGAACAGTCTATGGCCTGCATAAGACCATAAAATTATAAAGTGGTCTTAAACACTTGATAGAATCCTGAAAACTTTGGTTAAGCAGCCCTTAACTCCCAACCTTCACTGATTAGTCACATAAGTCCTCCTCATTAAACTTGATAAGGGATGGCCCAAGAATCAAAAGGAAGATGTATGCCTCACATAGAAGGAAAAACTCCCATAGTGAAGTACATTAAAACAGCCAAACTTTTATTAATAGGTAGCAAACTCACACAAACTCGAATGATAAAAGTGCTTGTAAACCGCTTAAAAAAAAAATAAATAAATAAATGACCGTGGCATTCAGCGTGCTGGCCAACGCACTGTCACAAAATGGCATCATCGGGGGCATGGCGAACGGACGGCAGCACACAATTTATACACTTAGAAGACCGGAAATCAATACGCGCTCCACTAAGAGGTGTATGAAGATCAGAAGCAATCTGCCTCAACTTGAGCTCCACACCTCCACTAGGCAACATAAACAGACATAACTCATCCCAAAAAGGGGAAGCAAGAGATCAGCCCCATAATCCGACCTATTGGAAAATAACCAAATAAACCTTAATAAAACGAGAAAAAAATCTGCCGGCAGCCAACACAAAAATATCCTGCCATAAAAATATATGAATGAACATAAACCTAAAATTATAAAGAACACTCCCTAGTAGGGGAAAAAAAAATTAAGATTCAAAATAAACTACATCAATCAAATTCTCATAATATATAACAAGCCTCTAAACATTTTGATTGAAGCTATTCACATCCCATTCAATATGGGGTGTGGCCATGGGAGCTAAATTTGCTGCTAGTATGGCCAACCTCTTTATGGCTAAATGGGAGGAGTACACTATATACATAGAAGAGTAGAATTAGTAGTTTGGCAAAGATGGTGACATTCGCTTAATGATTATATACAGCATCTCAATGGTAAATCCCATATTCCCTATTTAGAACTTAATACAGAGGTTAAAGAAGAAAATATTGTGACCACTATATATTTTAAGGATACGGATCGTAATCTTTTCATTGGCCAAAGAAGTTGTCATCCCTCTTGATTGAAATCTGTTCTCAAACAAAAGTCAATTCTTCCTCATCAGACAGAATTGTTTGCCGATTGATGGTTATTATAAACGGGATTAAATCGTGAAAGCAAGGCACATTGATAAAGGTTATTCTGTTAGAGCTGGATAAAATCACAGATATAGCTATACTAAATAGGAACCTGATGCTGGAAGAAAAATCAAAAATCGAAAATAGGGGCTCTTGTGACCTTTTAATTGTGCTTTGTAACTACTTTACAGAGACAATGGAAAGTTCTTAAAAACGATAAAATCTTGGGTCCTTTTGAGTTCCTCAAGTTGGTGGTTTTATATGACTGATCCTTGAAGGTTGGGCATGAACAAGATCGGCTTAACTATAATTTGAGGGTCTTAATGTCCGGTAAGCAGTTGGTTTTACCACTGTGGTGCCGTGTGGAAACTGCTATATGCAGAATGGTTTCGGTACTTTCTTTTTTTTTTTTTTCTCCCTCCTGGATCTAGTCAGTTATTATTTTATGGACTGTACAATAAGCATGTCATTTATTATGATTGACAGCCTGTGACCTTTACTGTAGGATAAAGAAAATTGCATTTGTTGCATTCCTCTAAATTCCCTTTCTTAGAGAAAAGTGCAGGACACATAACTCTCCCCTTTGTGTTGTTTTTTTTTTTTTTTCTTTGTTTGCTAGAAAACTGACGTTCTCATGGTGGGAGGGGTCAAATGAGGGAGTTTTTAAAGTTTTTTTTTTAAGATACCTTTTGGCAGTGTCCTGTCACCTGAGAGTGCTCATTTGATATGATTTGAAAGAAGGCAAATGCAGCTATCGTGTTATCTGGCTGTATGTAATTCTGGGTAGGTTACGAAAACTTGATAGGCCAATGGAATGGATTGATGATTTATGCACTTCCTTCTATTGTAGGATTTTGTTGTGGCATGTTTTATTTATCTATATATCTATACATACACATAGTGGTTATTAAGTCTACACACCCCCCTAATTAAAATGTCAGGTGTCTGTGATGTAAACAAATTAGACCAGGATAAATTATTTCAGAACTTTTTCCACCTTTTTAATGTGACCTATAAACTGTACAACTCAATTGAATCATTTAGGGGGGGGGGGGGGGGAGTAAAACTGAAATGTGGTTGCATAAGTATGCACACCCTCTTATAACTGGGGATGTAGCTGTGATCACAATTAAGCAATCACATTCAAAATCATGTTAAGTAGAAGTTGGTACACACCTGCCATCATTTTGAAGTGCCTCTAAATAACCCCAAATAAAGTTCAGCTGTTCTAGTATGTCTTTCCTGACATTTTCTTAGTCGCGTCCTATAGCAAAAGCCATGGTCTGCAGAGAGCTTCCAAAGCATCAGAGGGATCACATTCTTAAAAGGAATCAGTCAGGAGAAGGGTAGAAAATTTCCAAGGCATTAGATATACCATGGAACACAGTGATGACAGTCATCAAGTGGAGAAAATATGGCACATCAGTGACATTACCGAGAACTGAATGTCCCTCCAAAATTGATGAAAAGACCAGTAGAAAACTGGTCTGGAAGGCTGCCAAGAGGCCTACAGCAACATTAAAGGAGCTGCAGGAATATCTGGCAAGTACTGACTGTGTGGTATATGTGACACCAATCTCCTGTATTCTTCATATGTCTGGGCTGTGGGGTAGAGTGGCGAGACAGAAGCCTTTTTTTTTTACAAAGAACATCATCCAAGCCTGGCGAAATTTTGCAAAAGCACATCTGAAGTCTCCCAAAAGCATGTCGGAAAAATGTTATGGCCTGATGAAACCAAGGTTGAACTTTTTGGCCATAATTCCAAAATATGTTTGGCACAAAAACACTGCAAATCACCAAAAGAACACCATACTCAGTGAAGCATGGTGGCAGTATCATGCTTTGGGACTGTTTTTCTTCAGCTGGAACTGCCTTAGTCAAGGTATAGGCAATTATGAACAGTTCCAAATATCAGTCAATATTGACACAAAACCTTCAGGCTTCTGCTAGAAAGCTGAACATGAAGAGGAACCTCCTTTTTCGTCATGACAACAGCCCAAAGCACACATGCAAATCAGCAAAGGAATTGCTTAACCAGAAGAAGATGAAAGTTTTGGAATGGCCCAGCCACAGCCCTGACCTGAATCCGACTGAAAATTTGGGGGGTGGTCTGCAGAGTGCTGTACACAGGAGATGCCCTCGCCATCTGACAGATTTGGAGTGTTTTTTGCAAGGAAGAGTGGGCAAATATTGCCAAGTCAAGATGTGCCATGCTGATAGACTCATACCCAAAAAGACTGAGTTCTGTAATAAAATCAAAAGGTGCTTCAACAAAGTATTAGTTTAAGGGTGTGCACCCTTATGCAACCATATTATTTTTAGGGTTTTTTTTTTTTTTTTTTTTACTTCCCTTCACCTAAAAGATTTCAGTCTGTTGTTCAAGCAGTTTATAGGTTACATTTAAAGGTGGAAAAAGTTCTGAAATTATTTATCTTTTGTTTCATATAGATTTATTTTTTTACATCACAGAAACCTGACATTTTAACAGGGGTGTGTAGACTTTTTATATCCACTGTACTTAGATTTTGGTAGTGCTGTATGTTTATGTAAATTGGGTAGCCAGTGTACTCTGACTTTTTTGATTTGTACAATAGAAGGAAAAGCTGTTGGACCCTTTTGTCTGTTGGAAACTTTTTTTTTATATCTTTTTATCGTAAATGGTCCCATAGCTCTTGAAAATTCTCTGGTGTTATCTGGTCTGAAAAGCTTGACTTATAATAAGTCTCTTCTTTTACATGGTGAAGGGGGTTTAATATATGTATTTTTAAACTTCTAGGTCATTTTCAAGAGACTGGGACGTTACAGAATATGGAGTTTGTGAACTGATGGATATTTTATCAGAGATACCAGATACCACAATATGTGTTACTCAGCAAGACAACGAGACTGTAATCTCCATTCCTAGAAGAGGTATTAAATATATATTCTATATTTTATATGGATACACTGTAGGAGCAATATGATTTATTGGAGAAAAAAAAGGTGACATCCAATGAAAGATATGGGTATTCACCAACTTACTGTACAAAGCAGACTGTGCATCTATTTGGCAAAATTTATTTGGTTGTCTATGTTGTTTTATACAGAAATCTATGGCAGGTGAAATTTGCAGTGCGATAATTATCAAAACCTTAAGTGTATATCTGGACAAAAGAGATTTAACCACTTGCCCTCCTGAGGATTTACCCCCCTTCCTGACCAGGCCATTTTTTGCGTTACAGTGCTGCGTTACTTTAACTGACAATTGCGGGGTCATGCAACACTGCACCCAAATTAAATTTGTCCTTTTTTTTTTTTTTTTTTTTTTTTTTTTTTTCCCCACAGATTGAGCTTTCTTTATTTAATAAATTTATTTGATTTATTTGTTTTTTTGGGCTATTAAAAAGACTGACAATTTTGAGAGAAAAAAAAACTATTTTTGATTTTTTGCTATTAAACATGTCCAGTAAAATAATTAAAAACAAATTTCATCATGAATTTAGGGCAAAATGTATTCTGCTACTGTACATGTCTTTGCTAAAAAAAAATTCCAGATACGTGTAAATTGGTTTACATGAAAGTTATAGCGTTTACAAATTACTGTATAGATACTAGAATTTTTTTTTTTTGTTTACTAATCATGGCGGCGATCACGGACTGATTGCGGGACTGCGGCGGGCATTCTTACACTATGCACAGCCATCCAGAGCAGTGTTCCCCAAGCCGATAGGAAGGAGGACTGTTAGTAAACAAAGCAGCCCTCCTCCCTGTCAGAAATCTTCAGTAATTGCCAGGTGTCGGCGGGTAATTACCGGATGATAGGTCCACCCCATTTATGCGCAGTTCACATTTCATTCATAGGAAGTAGTATGGCCACACTGGAAGATTGTGGTGGTGGGTATAAACTGTGGAAGAATTCATCTAATATAAGAGGCATCACCACAAGGGACACATCCTCCTGACTATAATTTATGCCCCTTGTATAAAGTTTTGTTTTATTTTGAGTGTACTTAAACTTTAACCACTTTCGGGCCACCTGCCTGCAATGTACTGCGGACAGGCAGCCCCCCTACTAGCATTTACTGTCAGAGATGCTTGTCAATGGGTCTTGGCCAGTGATTTTTTTTTTTTTTTTCACTGATTATGGTTACTGCCACTAGCGACGTCAGCACCAGGGTCAGCTAGCGTTAGATTGCTCGCACACTGTTTCACTCATGCTATAGGTCGCTGATCACCGTCATTGCCAGTATAGTGTTTGTACGAATCAATATATTGATCACAACCAAAACTATACCAATGCCCTCTTAGTATCAGCATCCCAAAAATGCAGTGTTAGCAGGGTCAGCCCCATTCGCTGCCAGCACTTTCGTTTAGCCCCAGTGTCAGTGTAATTTCTGATCACTGTCACCTGTGATAAATTGCACACAAAGCCACAGCCTTAGCAGAATCTGGCCTGATTTCTGCAAGCACTAGCAGGTGAAATTTGTGAAATTTATTAGTATCGGTTCAAGCAGTCCCTGACAGCCAAGTGCTACTTTTTTCTTTTTTCATTGTGAGTTGTACTAGGTACCTGTAAATTTAGGGCCTAAAAAGTACACTAGTGAAGAGGTCTACAGGATTCTGAGCATGTCAGATGAGAGCGAAGGGGAAGCCTCTAACAGAATTTGCCTCACAATACAAACCTGTAGAAAGCAGCGTCACCTCGACAGGTAGCTTGGACGATGGAAGAGATTCCTGTTGAGATCAAGCGTACCCAACCCCATGAAGCTGAAGTGCTAGGAACGCATGACTTGTCTCATATGTAGCAGAGTGCCAGTACTAGTGTTTACACTCCCTTTTGGTGAACTGGCGAGCACCAGCGGCCTAGTATATCTTGGTCTTTTTCATACCAGCACTGCAGTATCACTTGGTGATGTGGTGAGTTACATAAGTGCAGTACAAGTTGGTGGAGTGGCTAGCACAAGTAGTGTCCCACAGCTACAAAGAATTTGCCCAGTGTCCTTTGCGGACGTGCTTGCAAATCCTGATTTGGCAACCCACAGATTCTGCAGCACACCGTACTTCCCCCGTTCACTACCCAACCTGGAATTAAAATCAAGGGGATTAAATTTGCTGCTTCCATTTAATGGAGCTATTTTTCACAGGAGACTTGTATAATTTTATTGTGGGCCAAAGCAATTTATAAGCACAACAGTATATCGCCGCCAACCCACATTCAGCTCTTGCCAGACCATTTTACATGGAAACCTATTACGGTTTCTGATTTTAAAACCTTTTGGCCTAAACCTCAACATGGGCATAACAAAAAAGTGGCTTGCGGTCGAATTGGTCCTCAGACCCAATTCATAATATGCCCATGTTCTCTGCTCCCATGGCCAGGCATAGATATGAGACGATAATGCGATTCATGCATTGCAGTCATAACACACTGTCGTTCTCGGGGTGACCCTGAACTACTGTCTCTACAAAACTTGGCACCTCATAAACCAACTCACTGAGAAATTTACAGATGTGTATATGCCCCAGGAAAACATCTGCGTGGATGAGTCCCTCATTTACTTTACTGGCTGCCTTGCATTCCAACAGTACCTCCTGAGCAAGCATGCCAGATATGGGGTCAAATTGCATAAGCTCTGTGAGAGGGCCACAGGATATACATATAATTTTAGGGTTTGAGGGAAGAGACCTTGAAGTAGCGCACCGTGACTGCTCAGACTACATGGGGAGCAGTATCAAGATAGTTTGGGACTTTGTGTCATCTTTGTTCCACAAGGGGTACCACTTATGTGGACGATTTCTATGCAAGTGTGCCACTATTTAGACATTGGTACAATCTTGGAATTGGCTCATGTGGCACCGTGCGACCTAATTGCCGAGGCTTCCCGTAACTGCTTGTAAACACCCGACTTAGGGGGAGAAAACTTGCTTGAGAAATGATGAATTGCTTGCAGTGAAGTGGAAGGGCAAATGGGATGTTTTGGGCACTTCATGTGCAGGTGCCATTCTATCTTGTAATGTGCGGGTGCAGCCACCATATTGTTTGCACCAGTTTTGGTCAAAGCACATTGCAGCAGGACACACGTGAGGCAGGCAGCTTCCTACCCACATCTCCACTTCCAAGCAGCCTGGCCCAGTATTACAGGAGCAGACATAGTAGGCAATGAAGAGGATATGGAAGTGGTGCAAGAGGAAGCTATTAAAAATTTCTCGCTGCCTGGCTCCTATGCACGGGATGTTAATACTTTAAAGCAATAGGTTTGCAAATGTTGATATGCTCACTTCTGTGTGCAAAAGCCTTAACATTGTTGCATTTACCTCCATTTTGCCATGCCCCTTTGGGTACAAAGAAACCTGCTAAATCTAAAAAGACATTCCCCATTCATGAACAAATAAAACAGGAAATCTGATGATTGGATCAATACAGAATTATATCAATTCCCCTAAAAATCATTGACCAAATTCTATCCAGTGGAAAATAGTTAACAAAAAAAAGAAATGGTCTGTTTTGGGAGACCCTACTGTGTTAAGCATTTCACTGCACCAATTGAGAGTGGCCCTTCTTTCAAAGATTCGGCTGATAGAAAGCTTGACACACTTGAAAGCTTTACTCTCGCAGGCCCTACTCTGCAACCAGCTATTACGGCAATGTCAATCTGCCAAACTGCTACTAACTGGGCTAGGACAGTGAGCAACAAACATGATCCTGTCTTTCAGAACCGTACTTCAACTGAGCAACTACAGCATTTACCTTATGTCTTGCTCTTTTGTGTTGATGCACTAAATCAGATTGCTATATTTTTAGTGTGCCTCTGATATCCATTCACATGCACGGAATCTTTTGGCTTAAAGCCTGGGCAACTGAAGCTGCCTGTGAAAGATGTCCTACATGTATGCCCTTTTAAGGACGTCTGTTTGATGACACTTGACAAATCCATTAACCACTTGCCTGGCAGTTTATTAATTTTTTGGCATGTTAAAATCTGCTTTTTATGGCAGAAATGACTGTAAACCCCCCAAAAAGTATGTATTTTCTGAAAACTGAGACATTGGTGGTACTTGCAATCATCAAATTATTGTTTATCTAATGCATATTTTCAGCAACAATACACTAAAATACATTTTAGCAAAAAAACGCACACATAACTAATTTTTTGTTAAATAGAAGATTGGGTTGTGTCAAGTAAGTAGATACCAAATGTGGCAACAAACACTGTGGAATCGCAATGAACAACGCTTTAATAGCTTTTCCAGATTATTTGTAGTGAAGTATGACCTTCAAATTTTTACTGTCTGTCCAGCATTTGCAGTGATGTACAGTTTGTTTCCATACCTGTGATCTCCCTACATTGTGTTTTCTTATATCGCATGTGTATGGGGGTGGTGGGGCTGCTTTTAAATTTTTTTATTTTATATGTATGTGTGTGTGTGTGTGTATATGTATGTATATATATGTGTGTCTCTCTCTCTCTCTCTCTCTCTCTCTCTCTCTCTCTCTCTCTCTCTCTCTCTCTCTCTCTCTCTCTCTCTCTCTCCTCTCTCTCTCTCTCTCTCTCTCTCTCTCTCTCTCCCCCCTCCCCCCCCCCCCCCCCCCCCCCACGTACATACATATATATATGTGTGTGTATGTATATATGCATACATATATATATGTGTGTATGTATATATAAAATAATTTTTATATTGCTTGGACAGGGGGGCTAAATAGCCCTCTGACAGCATGGGTAGGTGAAAGGTATTCTTTATGAAGACATTGAAGATATTTTTCACTTCCAGAGTCATTTAGTTGCAGGAGGGATCAGGGCCAGATGTGTTCAGAGTTTCTCTTACTTTCACTGGGGAGGCTGTTTTTCTGTGGTTCCAAGTTTCCTGTGGGTGCTGCGGCTGGGGGATCCAGGGGGGGAGCATCTGATTTGAGAGCCCTTTAAAAGCGA